TGTGTGTGTGTGTGTGTGTGTATGTGTGTATTACCGTTAGCTTGGCTTGTGTCTGTGCCTCTTTCCTCTGGCTCTCTAGCAGCTGTCCCTCCGTCCACTTCAGTTTTTCTTTCAGCGTCTCCAACTCTTTGTCCAGTGCTTGTTTCTGTAGAGACAGCTGATGGAGAAAATAATAAATCGGCAGCTGCTAGAAAACAGGAAAAATTAAACCCAAAGATAACTGGAGGGAAAGGACGTGAGAAAAAAAAGTCGAGGGAAAAGGGGAAAAAAAACACTGAACAGCTGCTGTTGCAGGTGTAGGAATCACCACCAGCAAAGGGAATGGGAGGCAGGAGAGCAATCAGTGATTACCGGCGTCCAATGTATTGTCTACGTCTTTGGGGAATCTACTGAAGACTTAAGCTGATCGGCTTCTCACCAGTGCTGATATTAAGTGCAATCAATTTAAGCTCTCACATTATAATTACTAATCCAACAAACGCGTTGTTGCTCTCATGCTTCTGTCACGTCATAAATAACAACAAACACAGTCCAGTGTATTTAACAGGGAGCAAGATATTGCATAAAGCTCATAGTGGAAACTCACTGCTGTAAACATTAGGTAATGTTTTTGTGATGGTTATAATCAACATTCGTAGATTGCAGGATGTTAATTATCCAAATAATTCTAAGAAAGCCCAGAACAGCCAATTTGGAAATTAACCCAATTTTAATGTCATAAATAGTTTAACTTACTAATTTCTTCAGACATGAAAGTAATTTTTACAGAGAGAAATAGCAGGAACTGTGTATTTTTTTTAAAACTTATTTTGCAGAGATTGTATTAAATTATTGAGATTGTATGGGTTACTCACTGAAACTACATGCATGAGGAAAGAGTAAAATACACTCCATAAAACGGCAGAGTAAAATATTCACACGAGTTGAATTAAATGTACTATCAGAAGCAACAATTAGATTAAACCCAAACTGTGCCTCTATTGTGTGTTTACTCTGTGTCACCTTATCAGCTATAACAAGATAACATCTGTGTGGTTTACAAAGGGCTTACAGTGAGGTTTTAATGGATACTGTGGGTAGAATGAAAGGTCATTGCTAAGAATTTTTACACCATGTCTAAAAGTGTAGGAATTCGTGGTAGGAGGCTTACCCTTGTGCAGAGATTAAAATCTGTATTATTGTTCTGCTGATTAATAAAACCAAATTCCACCAGGTAAAAGAAATCCAAATAAGAAAATGGAAAAAACACTGTCTTTAACCATAAACACACTCCTCCTCTACATTCATGCAACTCGACTCAAACACACACCTTTGCACAAATGCTCAAACCCTCTTCACCCTCATCCCATAGCCATGCCTTCACGCCTCACTCGATGAGAACGGATTATTCCTCACACACAAGTTACGAGTTATGAGTTTATTTTCATGCTTCACTGACCAAAGCATTCTGCATCGTCAAACACAGTCACACTGTCATTACCTTCGCCGCTCAACCTTTCCACTGGCGAGAAACCGAGGGAGAGGAGGGCAGAGAAAAGAGCAGGTGGGGGAGAAAAAAAGAAACACAGAGAGCAAGAGAGTGAAACAAAGAGTGAGAGAAAACAACAAGGGCAAGAAGGAAGCGTGTGAGAAGAAGTCAGAGACGTTATTATTACTGACGTTTGGTACAAATAATACAAGTCCCAGGAGAAAGGAATTGAGGAGAGGGGATGGCGACAGAGAGTAGGAAAGAGAAACAGGAAATAGCTGAAAAAACAGAGCAGAGATAAAAACTAAAATATCAACAATATAAGCACAACATAATGGTGGTGCTAAATTCACAGTGTTTACACAAATGGGATTTAAAAATCCTCTTATCTTATCTTGGTAAATCCATTAGTATGAAAATATATACTAGAAGGATTGTTTGCCAAGTCCATGTGTTTGATTGAGGTGTGTGATAATTTACCTTGTCATTCTGAGCCTGCAGGGCATTGTGAAGCGTCCTGGCCTGCTGCAGCTCCTGGTTGAGCTTATTCAGCTCCTGCTGATGCTGCTTTTCGAGCAACTGCCTCTCTTTCTGGAGCTCCAACGTATCCTGAAGGCAACACACAAGCATCTCTGATGTAAGCTCCTATCTTCAACTGTAATGTGGAACAAGGCTGAACTCAAACTTAGTAACCAGATGTTTTCCCTCGCTTCCTTCAGTTTCTCCATGTGTCTATCGTCCATCTGTCCCTGTCTCACCCTCTGATGTTGTTTCTCCATCTCCTTGGTGCGCTGTTGGTGTTGCAGTCGGCTGCTCTCTGCATTTTGCCTTTGACACCGAAGCTCCTCTTGTAACTGCTTCAGCCTTTGCTCAGCTCCTGATGTCTGCAACACACAAAAAAACAAAAAACTAAGAAATTAGTCATATATTCAACTACTCTGAGGCTGTTGTTGTGAAATGTTAAAATTTGAGACACTGCTTCTAAACTAATCTGCCAAAGTGTTATAACTAGTTAGTGGTTTTATGTGGTGGTGATGTGTTTCACTGTTTCTAACTTTGTGTAACTTGTATATCAGGAAAGCATAAACATTTTAAGAGCTGATTGTAGCTAATAATAAGAGAGTTATTGGTAGAAATGCATCCTCTCTCCACATCTCCACAGCATTCTAGACTGTTCGCTAAAACAAAATATTTGCTTGATTGTTTTACACCACAAAACACACAAGGTTTCACATGTTCAATTGTGATAATAACAGAGTCACACGTAAAGTAATACAAACATGTTTGTCATTTTAAGGGAGGTCAAAAAACAATGTTTTGACAAGGCCAATGCCCATTTTATGATAAAAACAGCAAAGCCTCAGGAATATGCACCAGCATGAAACATATTTGTTTTCAGTATCAGTAGCACCAGTTCTGTGTTTTTTACCCGTTCGCTCTCCTGGGTGATGCGTGTGTGTGCCAGACTGAGCTCATCTCGAGCTTTCTGCAGGCTGATCTCCCTGGAAGTGACATCTTTCTTGCTTTGCACCAGGTCGTTCTGAATGGACTTCAACGTCCTGGTCTTTACAGACAGCTCCTCCTCCAGACAAGACACACGATTCTTTATCTCTGATAAAGATACTGGTGTATGGAGCAAACACACAGACATAGTAGTAAATAAGCTGATAAAAAATTATTAACCACAAAAACCCTTTTAAATACACCACTGAGACAATTAATAAAACCCAAATAATACAATTGAAAAGAAATATAGTTTGAAACCATCAATGGAGGGCTAAGGAGGGAGGTTAGGAAAAAAACAAGACATTCATTCTCGAGGGACATGATTATTACGTTGGAAGACATTGCACCTGCACAGTTTTTAATGACAATCCTATATTTGCATAAAACAAGAGTCATCAGTAGATGACAGATCCCCTGCAATGTCCTGATGATAACTATTTCAGCCCATGGGTGAAAGGCAATGGAGAGGAAACAGTTAATAAAACTAACACTGATATTATCAGCTAGAGTTGGTTGATTTCTTACAGCTGACCTCCAACAGCAGCACAGCAGCAACACACAGTTGGGAGCCATGTCAAATAAGGTCAATCCATACAGACTGACTCACTGACAGCTGTCGATTACAAAGCAAGGGATGAAATCAATTTCCTGACTGTCCAATATGTTGGGTTTTTTTGCCCCATACAGAACTTATGCAAGGCCAACTTGTAAATGTACTGCTTTTTTTCCGATGTGTTAACAGATTTATTTTGATCTTTTCCAGGTTTTTTTTTATATTTACCATAAAATCCTATTAAGATGAAATGTGAAAAAAAGCACAACTAAAGACACACACACACACACACACACACTGCAGCTGACTAAGTATTAGGTGTAGGAAGAGCCACTCTACAGTGGCGCCAGCAGGAGTCTCCAGCTGAGCCAGTGATTTCTACACAGCCTGTTATGTAACAAGTGCTGTTGACGTTATACAAAGTACACGACATTCAGGGTGATTACATTGCTTTACTTAAGCTGACTTTAGTGCTGTGGCCTCACCTAGAACTGGAGACTAAATTAAAACAGATGAAATGTCATCATTATTTTGGCTCTTATTGCTCAAAGCAAGAACACAACAAAAACTGCACTCCAGTGAAATTACTCAATGACTGTCAGTGTCTAGTCCTAATCGAGAAACATGTTGTTAAAACTTACGTCCAGCTGCTTTTTGTAAAAAGGAAGTAAAATCAGCTTTGGCTAAAAGGCAATGGTCATCAACAAATTATTCTAACTAGAACTTGCTGGTCATCTATAAATAAGAATTTAAGACCATCTGTGATTGAGCCTTTCCTGCTTTGACTCAGACTCTGGAACAACACTCCTATTGATACAAGGTTGGTCAACAATGTTAATTGTTTTTAACAGAATCTTTTGTACTGATAGTCTTTTAATTGGCATCTGTAAAATGCCGCATTTGAGCTATAACAAACATCCTACATTTAAGTCTAAATTATAAAATCAAACCAGAATTACTGAGGTAAATTGATAGCAAGGGCTGCAAATAATGATTAATTTCATTGCCAAATATTCTGCATATTAATTATAATTCATTATTTAATTAATTACACATGAAAAATAAAAAATGTCCATTAAAATATCCAAGAACATGTAGGATGTCTTACAATATTTCGTTTTGTTACATTTTTTAATATTATATTTACTGTAACTGAAAGACCAAGAAAAGCCGCAAATTATCATATTTGAGAACATTGAGCCATTGAATAGCATATTTCCTATTTAATCCTGATGTAAGATTCAAGCTGCCAGGCTGAGCTGTGTGTGTTTATTTTCAAACTGCAGATGGGCAAAACCCATTGGTGCACTGTAACCAAGGTGTCATCATGTGGCATCCACACTCACTGTCTCCCTCTGTCCTGTGGTCCTTCTCTTTCCCACAAAGCCCCACTGCCAACTGGCCTTGACTGATGACATCAGCGCAGGGTGTCTCCGGAGAGGTTGGGGACTGTCTCCTGTTTGTTGGCCTGGTGTCATCCCGTTCCCACGGAAACCCAGCCAAGGGAGTGGAGAAGGACTCTGATTGGTCAGACGGGTGGCGGTGGGGTGTGCTCCTGTGCTGTTGTCTTGGCAGTGAAGTTGTGGCCATGTCTGAGAACTGGAGCCGTTGCTGAAAGGAGGAGAGAAGAATTAGATAAAAAAAAGGAAGGTGTGAGTCTGAACATTTTAGCAAATTTACAAGAGGGATCCAGGACTCAAGCTCTTTGTTTTTTTATTACTTAAAAAAAAGATTTTATTGAAGAATGACTCACTCCTGTTGTTTTTATGATTCAAGAGTAAACACTATAAAAATCTGTTGAGCAGGGATGGGGAACGTCTGACCTCTGGACCATATACGGACCAAGAGACAATTCGATTCAGCCAGTGAGACAACTCAAAATACATAGAACAAATAAGCAAAAGCATAACGAAAAAAGAAAGTAAGTTTATCTTGAGGAACTCAGATTACTTGTCGAAAGATACCTAAAAAAACTTTGATGAACACTCCAACAAACTTTCAGTTTTTCCTGTATGGCCAGCAATGAAACATCAGACATGACAAACACCACTCAAACAGTGTTTTTCTGTTTGTGGAATTGCTGTCTTTGCAAGCCATGGCACTAACATAGGTGAGGAAATGTTGATTTATATTCTGGCACTTACCCGGGTGTGCTTGCTCTGTGCTTCCTCTCGACGCCCCAGCTTCTCCTCCTCCTTCCTGCTTCCTACAGGCCAACAACACAACATATGGATTGGACCTACAATACCAATCACCAACACTAAACAGAAACATCAGCAGCAAATAACCGAAGTGGTTTACTGACATGTGAGAAACACAACAGTCCCCAGAGAGTGAACAGCTGGGAAAGGATAGGGGATGAGGGAGTTTATTTACAGCACATATGTTCCCTGGGGAGTCTTGTGGTTTTATGTTTAATTTTCCAAACTATGCAGAGCCTTAATGATAAGATAAAGACAAATGGATATGGGAGAGTAAACATGGGAGTCATAAAGTTACAGGGCCGTACCATTATGTTCCCAGGGTGAGGATGTATTCCAGCAGGGAGTTGAAAACAGAGTGGTATCCGCCAACCTGCTGCTGTTCTGCAGCTTCTCAAGCTCGGCCTCCAACCTGCCAGAAAGACAAACAATGGTCCAATGAAAGAGATGAAGGATTTGTCTTTTAATATGCCACAATAAACCTTTACTAACAACTGAGAATGATATCAGTTTCATGTTATCTGAAAAAGTAGGCAAGGAAATAACAAAGAAACAATGGGCCTATTATATTTTCATTCTGCAAACAGTAGCCTTTATTTAGCATTAACTATTCTTTACATTAGGAACCGACTAATCTTAGTTTCACACTAATGATGCCAATTCACAATGCTAATCGGATCTGTTCCTTTCACTGCTCTATTATAATAGTTTGGGATTTACTGGACATCATCAATTGGTTTGATGTTGTCAATATTGTTAATGTTATCCATTTGCCTTTTGCAGGGAATTCATATTATTTTTCAGATGTATGAAACAAGGCAGATACCAATACCAATCATATTTACTGCTAATCTAAATTCTAAACTCTTCTGAATGAGAATGCAAAATGCATTAAATGAGACACACCAGAGAGAAGCCCATTGTTTTAGATGATTTCCTGTGGTGCTAACCTTTTGACTTCCTGGGTGAGTTTGTTGTTGAGGGTGCGGGCAGCATCTAGCTGACCCTCAAAAGAGCAGACTTGTGCCTGCTTGGTCTGCAGCTCCTGGGCCAGACACTCACTGCTGATCACAGCTGTTTTGGCCTCCTCACGAACATTCTGGAGCTCTCTATGCACAGAGTGGAGCTCCGTGCGCACCTCGTCATACTAAAGAGGAGAGGGGAGGTCTATAAGTTAGGAAAGCAAAAACTGAAAACAACAAATCCTATGAGAGATGACTGACTATGACAGTGTATGGCAGAATCATACATGTCAGGTACAACTGATTTACTTATTAAAGACTTGTTATCACTCAATGCTCATACACTTGTTACCATCTTTTAATGGACAGATATAAAACAGACAAATATAACTAAGTGTCACACTAAGTTACATTCAGTTTTTATATTGAAACCAGGGTGTGGCTGACTGAGGAGCACTATACTTTAGTAGTATGCAACATAATGTTTTAATAGACACATGATCCAACCACACTTTATCTGGCTTGACAAGAATATAAACTTTGATGAGAGAAATATGAGAAATAGCCCAACCACACACTAACAAACCAACAATCTGAAGCATTATATCCAGATGAATTAGTTACTTATGAACTAAACTTCCATACTTCTGTCTAAATCATGAACTGTATATAAAGATGGATGACATGTCTTCAGTTTCTCCCACTATCCAGACATGAAGCCAAAATAATTCAGATAAAGCTGCCACCTTGTCCCCATTAAGTTATATGGACCCAGCGCAGTAGCATTCAAGGGATGGAGTAGTGAGGTCCCGCCTATACAAGCAGTCGACCAATATAAGAGCTACATAATGACAAAACACATCTTTGAGAAAAACAATTTTGACGCGACTTCTTCATTTGGTCCATGTCCCACCCACTAACATGGAGGAGGCAGGTTTATGACCTAAATTGCAGCCAGCCGACATAAGACCCTTTGGCTTCAGTCATCCATCTTTATATGCAGTCTATGTTCAAAATCAATCACACTCTTGATGTCAGCACCTCTGCATATTTCATATACTCATATGTCACAATAATACATTTAGCAGAAAACAGTGAAAGGTAAAATGGTTCCCAACACTTGACCTGAGATAACCAACAAGACTGATTTTACCTTTAAAGTCTGTTTTTCGAGGCTATTCTGGATGTTGTCCAACTGCAGCTGTTTCTGCTTGGTCTCTCTTGACAGTCGCTCGTGTTGAACCTGCAGCTCCTTCACCTTTTGCAGGACCCGTCCAGACAGGCCCACTGTCCAGTCCTCCTCAGCCCAACTCATCTCTCTCTGTCTGGGTTTGACAAGATTGGGAGACAACATCAGCACAAAAAAACTCAAATACGATTTTTTTTTTACTTCTAATTTTGATATATAAAACAATCTGGGGAAAGTATTTTCTTTCTAATCTAAACTTCTAATCTAGGAAACAAGCCAGCTGACCTGTCCTATTGCTGTTTGACATATTCAGAATCAGCCATGGGAGGCAGTGGGTGGAGTGAAGAAACCAGCGACTCACAGTCTGAAACAAAGACGAAGTACAGGCCTGATAAATAAGGAGCAGGACTGCAGGTAGGTTGATCCAATCCATAACACACTTATTCAAACATGTTTCATCTGTGCCTGTGGCTGTGTGTCCTGTCTTGAATATGTTACGCTGCTAAGGCTTTGATCCCTTGAGGAGACGCTGGTTGTCACCGCTGGGCAGCTTTGACTCAGTTTTCCAACACAAGTCATCTGCAATGTTCCAACGGCTCTTCACGTTGAACATAAATCCCTTCTCTCTCTCTCTCTCTCTCTCAAAGTCCTGCAATAACAGCTACATGTTCACATAAAACCAAAGGTTTTTACTCAAAATGTCACATCTGACTACTGCCTGCAAACACTGCATTTACCAGCTCTTTGTATAATGCAGGTAAACAATGTATATACTATATCCACACACATACTCTATAAGCAGTGGTAGGAGGGAGAGTGTCAGTGTTATGAAAAGTATGATTGAAAATGTCTGGCCAAACCTGTACAGTTTGATTCTGAACCCTGTTTTGACTTGCATTCCAGTGTCAAGGCTATTTACAGCCTCCAGTCAGACAGTTTCCACCATAGCTCACAGGTTGTGTCACTTCGTTTACCTGCCACTGAAAACAACAGGCACAGATATTAACCTGAACTGACAAAAGTATTAGTGAAATATACAACACAGACCTGGGGTGCACAAAAAGTTTTTTTATTGGAGGGATTTCATGAAGCTGACATGTTAAGCCTTGTATTCATGAGAACCAGAACCTAAAAGCAACATTTGGTTTTATATAGGCTGCAACAATCAATTGTTTTCAATAATCTATCCATAATTCTTATCATCCATAAGCTGTAGTTTAATGTGAAAAAATCAATTTCTCTGCAGAGTCCAAGGTAACATCTCAAATTTGGTTATGTTGTCCGGGTAACAGTCTAAAACACACAACTATTAAATTATCGATGGTGCAACAAAGAGAAAAGTAGTAAATCCTCACATTAATGAGAAAGATGGGGCAAATTATTTTGGGAATTTTTCTTAGATAACCAACTTTGAAATCAACCAATGACCAAAACTGTTTCTAGGTAATTTTCTGTCCTCAACTAATCATTTCAGTTCAATTTTGCATTATTGATCAGCCCTCATGTATCTGTTAACATGACTGTCCACGATGGTTTCACAGTCAACAGCCGTTTGTCAAGCTGGAGACATGTTGGTTGCTTCTCTGACCTTGTGGTCTAGACACATTTTGTGTACCTGCAACATCAGTGGTTTGACTCCAGCTGGAGACCTATGTTGAATGTCATCCCCCCTGCAGCTCTCACCCTGTGTTTCCTATTTATATCTTCTATTAAATGTCCTTTGACAAAGTTGGAGACAGACACGTGTGACCAAAGTCCCAAAATGAATCATATGCAACAAATAGTGTTTGCTCCAAGAAGCAGACAACGGACACCCAAAATAACCACATCATAAATGAAAAAACAGCAGTACGACATTGCTCAATATACAAACAACAAAATAGGTCTCAGCAACTAAACAATCTGGATAATTATCACAGGTGTTTGTGATTCTCTGCTCATAAAAAACACACTACCACCAAAACCTTCACTCGGGAGCAAAAATGTCACATTTAACATGACAATTATCAATATTAACCGATCAGAACATTTAGATCTTATTATCACTTTGATCCATATTGTCCAGCGCTACCAAGACCTAGAAGCAGACAAAGAAGATGGTTTTATAGACACCTACAATAACCACATCATAAACCACAACAGCTGTGTGACATTGCTCAATGTGTAAACATTAAAAGAGGGCTGAGCAATACAACAGTCTCAATAATCAATTATCACAAAATCCTTTTCATCAATAGCAGTATATCTGTATATTGCTGATGCATTGAACAAGCACAAAGAGGACACATAATTGTTCTACCTCGAAAAATGTTTTGCTGTTAATCAAGTGTTGTTCTCTGCTCAAAAAGAAGAATTCAAACCCACAACCTTCACTCAGGAGCATTAATCAATCTTTAAAATTCAAAAAAATAACAACACCTGTATCATGATTATTATTTATATCGCCTGATTTAGACTTTTTTTTATATTGATAAAGTTTGGCCATGACATCCAGCCCAACTACGACCTAAAAATAGATAAATGCATCTTACAAGTAATAAATGTTTGTTTGTTCCGACAAGGTAGAAGGATTTTCAGACACCACAATAACCACATGCTAAACAACAGCTGTGTGACATTGCTCAACAACATGATCAGAACACATGAAACAACATGTCAGTGTGTGCACACTGTGTGAAGAGCTATCTGATAGCTCAGTCTCGTTTGACACCTCCATGAATGAAGGGAGCAGCTTATCTTCCACAGATACATCGATGAGTTGATTGATCCAGTGGATCCAGAGGTTGGCCGCTGGCCAGTGTTCAGTGTGATCACGAGGTTCAAACAAAACAAAAGACAACTCACATCATCCACAGAACAGACGTGTCAGTTAAACGTCCCCGTGGACAGTGTCAGAGCCACAGCAGCTGCCTGGCCGTCCCCCCTCTGTCTGTGGGCAGCGTTTGGTCCATCAGAGACTAAGTGACAACTAACTTAGCCGTGTAGCTACACGCTAACCCAGAAGCCACTTGGAGCTAACCCAGCTCTAAAGCTACTTACCGACGCTGAGAGGCGGTTACAAAGAGCCGCCAACAACCGGGCGGGAGCCCGCAGGCGGACAGCGGGAACGGAGCTCTGATACCGCGGGTTAAACCTCCAGCACTGACCCGGTGTTCACTACCGACAGAGTGAGTTTGAGCAGAACCGACATTGTGACTGACGTTAACTGACACTGTCTCATTTCTGACCTGTTTCTGACCGTGTGTCTTTGGCACGAGGCGGGGCGGGGGCTGGTGACGTAGCGCGCTGTTTTGGGCTGGGCTGAGGTTGGAGGAGCGCGCGACGAACCGCGGATGACCTCTAGTGACAAATCCAACTAACACACACCTCACTAGTTTCACTGCTCATCAGAGACACCAGTGTACTTCACTTCACTTTGCTTCACTTTGCTTTACTTTACTTTACTTAACTTTACTTTACTTTGCTTTGTTTAACTTAACTTAACTTAACTTAACTTTGCTTTGCTTTACCCTACTTTAATAAACTCTACTTTACTTTATCAAACGTTCCTTAACTTAAAGGTACAGTGTGTATTAGTGATATCTAGTGTTGAAGTTGCATGTTGCAGCTGAACAGCCCTCACCTCACCCTCCCCTTCCAAACATGAAAAAGAACCTGTGGTAGCTTCAGTTGTCATAAAAACTCAAAAGGTGTTTAGTTTGTCCAGTCTGGACTAATGTAAAAAACATGGCGGCCTCAGTAGAGAGGACCCCCTCCATGTAAATATAAAGTATTTCAATATAAAGGACCTTTTCTGGGGTAAAGAAAACTACTATTTGTACAATTTAGATGAAACAAACTTGTGAATCATGAGGATTATTCTACATTAAATGTCTGCCAATAGTTCCCTTTCACCTAAATCTTACACACTGGACCTTTAACGTTATTTTACTTTATTATTTTATTTTACTTAGTTACGTTTTGTCATTTAGAATTATAGGATTATTATCATCATTATCATCATCATTGCCATATTATAGTAATAATAATAATGATTAGTGGTAGTAGTAGTAGTAGTCGTAGAAGTAGTAGTAGAAGTAGCACAACAACAATTATTTGTTTATAGGTGTCAGAATAATTTCGATTCACCACCTACTTAAACCCAATGGTCAGTACTTGAGTAAGTTTTGATTTTGACAAGGTTTTTTGGAGAAATCCAACAGAATTTGATCTCCAAACCCTTTTCCCAAATAACATTATATAAAATTATGATTGAAAGCGACAGAAACATGTAGAAAAAGTGTTATATGATTTTTAAAGATACTGTTTAAAAACTGCACTAAAATATATAAAATATTCTTAAACTAAATCCAACTATGATTCTGACAATGAAATATTAACATATTTCACACTTCACAGGGTCTATATATTTTGTGTCTTTAGAATGTATATGACTTAATGTTCTCTGCTAATGTATACACACACAAACACACACACACATACACACACACATATATATATTTATATATATATATCAGTATAAAGATATAGATTAGTAGTAATAGCTCCTCGGCACCTTGTCTCTTGAATTATATGATGAGAGAAGCTTGGAAAATGTAATCATTGTCCCTCTGACAGTTTGTGACTGTGTTTGACTGGTGTTATGTTGTGTCTCTGATGTTGGAGGAAAACAGCGGAAGGATTTTTTTTTTGGCTTTATTGTACCTGGTACTTGTAGCAACAGCCATGATGAAAGTAAAAAAAAAACACTATTCAAACCACACTGGTTAAAATGTCACAGCCATTCCCATTACAGCAGTAACAGCACCCACTGTAGGCAACTGTAATTAGATTATAATCATTTTCCAGGTAGCCTCTGGATTTGGTTGTAATCTGGGATTTGATTGCTAAGTGCTGAGTGGTGCGGAATCCCAGGAACTAGTCTGTGGTTACTTTACGATACCATGTGTATGCATACACCATATGCAAGAGAAACACACTGCTAACACCTGAGAGTTTATAAGTGTGAGAAGTAGAGATTATGTGGGTGGTCATGTAATCTTAATGCATGACCATAACAGTTTGGTAATTACAGGTGTACGAAGGATTATCGTCTGCAGAGTATTTTTCAGTATGTAATTTTAAAGGATTGAGCTGGGTGTGATAGCAGCAGCCCAACAGACTGAAACCAGAAAGAATGCTGATTAAAATTGAATGAAGGCCCAGTCGGGTCTCTGTCAATGGAAGTGGTTTGAGGTATCTTAGAGCAAGTAAGTATGAGCTGAATAGCTTTAACAGACTTATAAAAAGAAGGCTAACCTAGAAAACACATGCAAAAGAAATTCAAGGGTTTAAATGAAACATAAACAGCTTTATTATCCATGCATTATGCCATTATGTAAGCCACCCCCTATGAATTTCACACACACACACACGGGGTATGCTCATGCCATGAGATAAGCTCATCCCGTCACTCACTCTTTATTAGCACAGGATTACATTTATTCTCAATCCCAAACTCACACAGACACTCAGTATAATACATACACTGTCTGCCAGGGACCATCAAGGGTAGCCAGGCAGTCAGGTCGCTTTTGGATTGTCTCATGTTAATGGAGGCCTGTTGCTCATTTGGCTGCTAACAGAGGTTTTTACCCAGAGACAGGTGGATTTCTGTCAGACAAGAGTAAACCACAGCTTTGTGAATTCAGTTTCATGAAGGTAAGACAATGATCGAACTTGTTTGACCAGACAACAGGTGATCTGTACTGATCAGTGAGCTATTTGTATTCACTCAGTTATATGTAATATGATTATAGATGAAATTAACCTGCAGTGGAGTTTGTAAAGTATATCAGAGATTTCTGTCTGCATATGAAACCTTAAATGTATTTACAGTAATTTATTTGCATCTAAAATGTACATGCAATGGTCTGAACTGTTTTTTATCTAACAATGTAATTCAGAAATACAATACAACCACATCCAGATATAAAGGATGTCCATCTTCCCCAGATGTTTCCTTGGTCTGCGGTTTTCTCCCTTGAGCCTAAAGTCCCTGGTCAGCGCACCGCTGAGGAGCTGGTAACCAATACTCTGATGTTGGAGCTGGGGGCCATGGTGAAACGCACCGAACGCATCCGTTTAGAAAGGATGGCAGAGGGCCGCCGCCGTCGCAGCTCCTCCACTACAGCCGACTACAGCTGGCTGGCCAACACCCCCACCCCACAGCCCTATGAGCTGACCCCCAGTGACCTGCTGGAGCTGCAGGACCTCTGTGCCAAGATCCCTCCGGCACAGTGTGGCCCTTTGATCGTCAGGTGAGGAAGAAAAATAGGGAGACATAGTAGTATAAGAGAGAGAGAAAGATGTGACATGCAGACAAGTACATGTGGAAAGATACAAAGAACTAGGAGAAGGAGAGCCAAAGGCAATCACAGAGACTGAAAGAGAGACGGGCAGAAAGGAACGCAGCATGAAGAAGAAGCAGATGAGGAGAGAGCTGCAGGGTTTCAACCTAATCCCTGTAGAACCCTTCACTAACCCAGAAAGTGAGCTGATACTTTCATAACCTAATTCTTTCCTAAGAGACAATAGTACTTGCATGACATCTTATAAATGAACATATGCAGGGACTAACACGTTAGGCAAAGCAGGCTTGACTTCTAACTGTTATTAAGTAATTCCCATTAAGTTATGTTTAATTTTCTACGTATTGAACATTATTTTGATCTTTTCCACCTTCCGGTACAATTTAATATAATTAGGCCTCTATCCTACCACAGGCGTTTTTAGAGATTTTGGACCCCTTTAATAACTGCCCTTTAGTCTACACATATCTATCTTTGTCATCAGCTTTGCTATTCTGACCTCATTCTGGTCGTGCTTTGAGGTGATTCATTCTAAAGCTTGGTAAATGTATGTGTTGAGTGATCCTGTTGGTCCTCATCATCACCATTCCTTATTCCTCCTGCTGCAGGTTCAGGAGGCTGGTGTCGCAGATGGAGCCTGAGGTTCAGGAGGTGGCCCGGCTTTTTCGCTCAGTACTGCGCGACTGCGTGGACGAGATGAATGGAAACGAATACATTCAGACACAGGATAATGTGTTTGAGAAGCAGCAGCGCAGCAAGAGCCTCTCCTTCGTAACTTTCCGTACAAAGTTTCGCTCGGGGTACTTCTTCAAGGGCGGAGGCCTGAGGGGCTCCAGGGGGAACCTGCAGCAGCAGGTGGACTGGTACAACGAGGAGGAGGAGGAGGAAGAGGATGGAGCAGAGGAGGAGGCCATCAGGGCCAGGGCAAGGAAAGGAAGGAGCAACAGCATGCCAGAGATTACCCCTATGGAGCAAAGTGCCCTGGGTTGAGAGGAAGGAGGGAGAGTGAGGTCAATCCAGAAGGGGTCTTGGAAGGATAACAGAGGGCCAACATAAATCAGGGGGAAGGAGTGACAGGATAAATATAAAAAAAAAAGAAGGTTCACTAGATTTCCTCTTATCTGGCCACTTTTGAAATATCAAAAGAGAGAGGAGGCCAAAAAAAGTACACTGTACAATAGCTGATGAACTTTAGTCTGTCACAAGAAGCTTTATTGGTCTCATTTCAACATGTGTGAAGAAGAGTGGTAAACATTTTGTTTTGTTTTGCTGATGACCATCCAAATAAAATACAAATGTGAACCTCATGGTGGCGCTAGAAGAAATGTAAGAGGGTCACTTTAACCCAGAAACTGATGGATGCTGACATCCCTAGAGGTGAGACGCTAATGTAGATTAAAATCTAAAACGTGCTGCATGGGATTTTCTTGAGTGAAATCTCTTGACTGTTTAACCTTCGTATGCTTCAGGTCTCTCTAAAACCCTTTAACTGATGCTCGCCAAACCACAGTTCCTGATCATATGCACATCATGTTACCATCCCTTTAAAAACATATAGTACAACAGAGCAGCTGTCGGCATAGATATCAGGGAAGTTCAGCTCAGGCCTCTCATGTGGACATTCAACAGTTTGAATCAGTGAGCAGGTGCTCACATAATGTATCCATTAAGCAAGTCCTCATCATGTCAGTCATTTGTAAATTATTTTTTATTGTGGATATAAAATTTATTTGGAGAAATTAACATGAATGTGATTAAAACATTAGTTTTTTCACAAATATATCTGTGTTTTTTGGATTAAATATACAGTTGAGAAACATTTTAGACTAAAGTAATTTTGGCAACGAGTCACTGTTAAGTTTACACTAAAGGGACACATGATATATGGATGTTTTGCCATTGGTGTCTGACAAGGTAAAAATATTAATATGCATATCTACCTCGGACTGTACCGTAATAAATGAAAGGAAGAGAAAATAAAAACCATACGACTGTGGTGAAATGTTTGGAATATAAACTGTAGCATGGCTCTATTTAGCACCTCTCTGTTGGTGAGTCTCAGCATGGCTAATTATATCCCTGCTGACTAATCCTATTATCTCAAGAAAATCTCATCCATAAATGCCAACACCCCATTATTCTTTTATTAATATGCACTTTCTTATCAATACATCATTATCACTATTTGCACTTTGTACACTGAAGTCAAGGCATTTGGCTAAAAAAAACAAAAAAACAAGAGGAAAATTAGGAAGAATGTTTTCCTCCTTCTTAAAAAGCTGTGGTCATTTAAATACCTGCCTGTACATTAGACGAAGGAGGGAAACAACTACAACAGTGATATCCAACCAGACACTTCCAGGGTATCTGGCTGAATGAGTCACTTCATTAGTCGTCCTTAGAAAACCAACGCAACCCTGTCAGAAGCACTGATGTCAAACCCGGCTCCTGTTCAGACACTTGTAGGCTGTCGTCTTCATGCGGCACCGAATGTGGAAGGTATACACTTTTCCAACAATTCCACATGCTTCCCGGTTGCAACCAATTTAATTTAAAACAGTTTTCTTACATAGCTTAACATGTCATACAGCTCGTTCCTGAATGATACTAACAAAGTCTCCTTTATTAACTGGCTCTGTCTTCTTGTGCCTTCAGGAGACTAAATGCCAGCCCACAGAGAATGTCTTCGTATTGTGTCACAGTTCATTTAGATTATTCGTTTGGCAAAACGACATTGAAAGAAAAACAGAGGGAAATGGATAAAAAATATTCCACGTCATAACTGAATGGTGTAAAGTGAATAATTGCTGATAAGTGAGACACTCTTCAATAAAAAGCAGGTAAACTAAGAAGCAAAATAATCTGAGCATAAACTCCAGTTCTGCTGTTTGGCTTAGAAATAATGATAATAACAGATGACATGTGGCAAGGGAGGGAAAACAAGGAAAATAAACTAAATTAAAAAGATAGTTTGCAGAATCAAACCATTAAATTATAGCCACTTTGATTAAATGTTTATGAATAGTTGGTCAAAGTACAAGAGCAGTTTTCGGCTCTCTCTCTATACAAAGCAGGGATTTTAGATAATTTATTCTTTTTTGTTTGGAGAGAGTTCATCATCTTCTTTCTTCACTGAATCTTTGATTTAAGATAGAGTCTGTTGCTTGGGAATAACCAACAAGTCTGTATTAATCTGAGTGGATCCCAAGCCTCCATCAAACTGTCACTTTGACAGAGGAGCCTGTCCTTCAAACTGAAAGTCTGGATGTGTTGTCTCAGTCCAGCTTTAGTTTTAACGTCCGCTTCCCCTCGTTCGCTTATCCTCCTTCCTTTAGCCGGTCCTCCTTTCTTTAGGCAAAGAAGACGACAAAGACGATGAAGAACACGACGAGGACGAGAAAGATCTTGATCATCAGCCAACGGTTGGAAGAGACCGACTGGAAGTATTTGAGGATCTCTGTGTGGGCGGCCTCCACGTTCAGCTGAGTGTCCTCCACGTTTGCATCGATCCTGTAAATACGCGACAGGCAAATGGTTCAGTGCAACTGAGCTTTGAAAGACAGAATCAAATCACATAACTGCTAATTCATTTAATCTGATATTTGACATTTTATCAACTAGGATTTATTATTCAATACTTTATGTTCAAGATTCCTATTGCTCACATACTAGCGTGCACTTATTTTTCCTTGTTTCTTTTTCCAATTACAGAATCTTGCTTGCAAAAATTTTTTTATGTCCTTGGTTTCTGAGAGACGTCAGTCCTTGATCCTCCATCTGCTTCCATCTCACCTCTGAATAGTTTCCTCTTGCTCTTTGACCATGTGCGCCAGCTGCTGGAATATAGAGCCCAGTTCCACAATGGTGCTCTCAATGTTCTGCATGGTGTCTGCACGGCTCTGGATGTACGAGTCCTGCAATGTCACAGTGAGCAGGATTTCAAATAGGGGCCTCATTAGGGGACCTAAATGCACAGTTTTCATATTTGGTCAAAGTTTTAATGCAAAGATTTTATCCTACCTGCTCATCAATAAGTTGGAGTTGCAAGGGATTGGTCTGAGAGTCCATATCGATGGCCACATCCCCCAGACTCCGGGACTCATCCTGCATCAGGACTGAGCTCTCTGAAGGGAGACAACAAGCAAAACACAAACACATTTTCAACCAGACCAGATGGAAATGCTAAATGGTAGAGGGGAAAAGCAGTGAGAACAGCGGGCAGATACAGTAGCTAGTTAAACCCACTGGGAGAGTCAAGCATTCCAGGGAAATACCTTTTAAATTTGAGGTTGTATAGCCCTGGTAGTCATTGCGTGGCTCACGAGCTGCATGCGGCTCCTGGGCCCCTTTTTTGCGGCTCCCTAAAATATTTTTTAATTTTTGCATTATAGATGACCAAATACAGTTTAAATCATTCACAAGGACTTCGAGCAGTTCCCTATTACAACAGCTGGTTGTTCTGAGAAATACACTGGCAGTTAAAATTTCTGTTCAACCTGAATTCATTTCAAGCAATATGCTCATTGTAGACACCGTAGAATTCAAAATGTGAAGGAATAGGTGTAAAGAAAAACATTATAATACTAATTGATAATGTTTGTTCTCACTATGCCCTGAGGAAACATTTGAAAACTGTGAGAGTTCCAAATATCTTTGTATTTCTGTTTAGGTAGCTTTTTGTGAAAAAGCATATTAACGACGATGGGTAAAATGATACAAGTTTTAAAGTCAGAATCACTGGATGTTAAAGTGAGTCTCAATAGCATAAGTCTCAAATGTCAAGACTTATGATCTAATGTTATGTTCATGAGTTTATATGCATCTATAACTTTCAAGGTATTTAGAATAAACACTTTGCTTGAAATATAGCCAAGAACACCTGAACACTACAGGCTGCACATGAACCTTCCACTGACAGTGTAAATGCCTGCATGGGAAGCTCCCAGAGTTAATGAGAGGATCTCTGGTTAGAAGCCATTTTAATTATTTCCTTGGCTCCTCCTCAGTTCACATTTTGCCAGATATGTTGATTTTCCCCTTAAGCCAAAATCAAGATTAAATAAAGGTGTGTTCACTCTATTACACTTGGAACTGCCAGCACAGTTTTCGTGAATTAGATGAAGGTTTCTTTAGGAAAGACTGATTTGTAAATTATGAGAAGGGTAGGATCCTTTGTGAGGGTAGATTTGGGCTGAATATATATTTATCAGTCTGTGACCATGACCAACCAGAGACCAGAATGTGATAATGAAATCTTGAAATTTCCTTTGACCCAAGAGATTTTTTCTCTCACCTGAATCAGACTGAAGACAGCTCCTCTGTCATACTGACAAAGTTCCATTCTAATGAAGGATTTTAATCAACACCAAATGTGTCCCGAGACTAAACTTTCCTACCCATGATATCATAGAGTGAACACTCCCTTAAGAAGCTACAACAGCATGCATTGTTTACCTGTTGCTGCCATTACTTTAATGCGAGACCGTTGTCAAGAAAAATCAGTGAGCAGCTACAAGCATGAAGCTACAGTGTGGGCGGACTTACTGAAATTGTTTGCCATCAGAGGAGAAGACGAGACGGGAGGCTGCGAGAACTGCTCTCTCCTGCTGCGCTGCTGCTTCAGGTTCTGCAGGTAAACAAACGATGGAGACATGATGAATGACTGTGTCTGATTCAAAACGTTGTGGTGTTTTCTGACTTTGAATGATAAAGTATAGAAAATGTTAAGTATGGCTCACCTCTGTTCTTACTTCTAGGACTGATTTGAAGTCATTGGACATTGAAGCCAGTTTGGACTGTGGATAAAAAAGTCATAGTAAAGTTACAAATAACAAAGTAAAGCTTAATTTAGCTGTGAACATTTGTTACAGACCTCTACTGTGTGAACAACATTTTTTCTGATGTCTGCAAAACTACTTCCATAAAATGTCACACTTAATTTCATTGCATATTAACAAAACTAGAACTGAATTAAAAATTTCAGGAAAACGATAATATTAACATGTTTTCAATTGGCAAAGAACACTAAAAGCCTATATATTTGACGAAAATCGAAATCATTCCAGAGCAGACACACAATTCATTGTGAATTGAACCTTGTTGAATATACCTGTAATGACACCACTATAGTGTTAGAGTGGGTTTGGATATGCCGACCACCCGGAGCTCCGCGAGACCTCACCAAGTCCTGCAGTTGTGCTATCTGTTTATTTAGACTGTTGATGTCCTAAAAACATAAACACAGGAGATGTAGAAATGTATTTACAGGATTGTAGATAACTGCTCTATTCACAGATAATGTAGAGTATATTTATAAAAGCACATTTTATGAGACATTAAAAATTTACTCACTTGTTTTATGATGTACGTTAGCTCCTCAATCTCCACCGCCTTGTCGTCAAATAGAGATTTTCTCTTTGCCACTAAAGCATCAAAATGACAACATGTAGAATCAGAGACTTCACGAACAAAGTCAAGATTTTTATACAAATGAAAAAGATGCTAGAATGACACTGATGGAACACTTACAGATAGTGAGCTTTTCAAGTTTGGCAAATGTATTGCTCAGGTCTTTCCCAATTCTCCTACAAGGAAACAAACAAAAATGTGGCTGTGAAATATGCTTGGTTGGATTCTTACCAGGAGTTAGATAAGATGATTAAATCAACTTAATCTTCTTCTGCGCCTCTCTGCTAACAGTCTATAAGATAAGCTTGGCAAAACAAATATTATGCAATAAGAATGGAGAGGATAATAATGTGTGAATACAAATAGTTGAACACACAAAATCAACATCGAAGAACAAATATTCATTAGCTGTTGAAACACAACAAAAAACAGTGTGCGGGGGAACTTACTTGGCCATAACTGTGAAGTCACTGCGCTGCCTGAGAGCGCTGAGAGCTGGTTTACTGGGCTGCACTCCATTCTGCCAAAGGAGGTAAGAAGAACGATATGAGATAAGAGTATTTATGACAGGCAACTGTGAACAACATTGATTCATAGATGGGTCAAGTGGTGGGCAATTCACTGATTCCATTTCTGTTGACCAACTAAACATTACAGTCAATTATTACATTTAAAATACATGGATTTTCTGATATATGTTGGCCACATGCTTCCTTCTGATATCGATCAGTTCTAAGGGCTTTTAGGTTGTTGGTCAAACTATGTGAACATGTTTGTGGTGTCACTGAAAAATAAGCGCTGACATCTTGTGAATATATTCAATCTGCTGTGATGTGTGACTACACTGTTTGATAAGGATCCTCCAGAAAAAAAGGGACCAATGGTCAGCATATTGGCATTGCTGACTCCCATTGACCATAATCATTTGTGTATAATAGAGTATAATAGACATCTTACCAGCGCTGTAGAAGTTAAATAAAACACCAATGTGTGCTTAATGTTAAATTTGCAGGTAAGAGTAGGCTAAGGATGGTTTTGATCTGCACATCATCAGGTATTAATAAGCCCCACAAAGCCCTGTGTTCAGCTATCTGGTCTTTCTAAACACCATGTTATTATTTTGTTATACTTCTGTCTGTCTTTAATATCTTTCAACAGCATCCTATGACTTTCAAACATGAAATATCAACAGTGCCTTCATACAGAGGCTGAGACTAATCCATACACGTGTCCAGCTTCTGTCAACAGGAGCAAGAATCTACTTTGAAGACATGTACATTTCAACACACTTGAGTGGTTTATGAATAATTTAAGGTTTGCACACTGGACCAACCCCTGTTCTTTAATACGTGTCTGCCTTGAGAAATTAAATTAATAAGTTAAACAGGCCTCCATCGATACGACACTAAATATATTAGACAACTTGAAGCCAAAGTGAAACCAACCGGAGAGAAACATAAAAAGGAACCAAAAGCAAAAGCTGCCAGGGCCTGGACTTAGATGGAGTCACACTTGTATTATTGAGCTGTGGTGTTGGATGA